AGAAACAAACCAGCGAGGCCAGTTTACAGCAGCTGATGAGCAGCCTGGACTGCAACAGCGACAGCGAGGTGGATTTCCAGGAGTACGTGACCTTCCTGGCCTGCATGGCCATGATGTGCAACGACTTCTTCCAGGACCTGCCGGACAAGATGCCACGCAGGAAGTGAGCGCGCGGGGAGTGGGAGAGGAGGATCTTTCCCCCTCCCCGCCCCCCCGACCCCTTTTTCCCCCCATCCCCCCTTGTCTTGCTGATGTCATTTCAATAAATAGAGATTTTAGACGAGTCCCCCTCTTTGCCCCCCTCAGAGTGTGGGTGTGTGGGTGTGGGGGTCTCGCTCCCCCCACGGGTGGGTGGGTGGGGGGACACGTCGATTCCCTCCCCCGCGGGCAGGGAGTGGGGGGAAAAAAGGGGGAGATCCCTGAGTGGGATCCTGCTCTGCCTCGGGTGGAATGTGGAGCTCGGGATGAGTCAGCTGGCGGGCTCTGAGCCGGCCCCGCAGCCCACGGAGCTTTTCACGGGAGATTTTCGGGGGATTTAAGGGGGATTAGCGGCTCCCGGAGCGGCAACAAAGGGTGAATGATTCTTTTTTGTTTGTTTTTTGGGTTTTTTTTGAGCCCTAACTGGGCAGAGTCAGCATCTGACACTCCCCACACCCCACCCGCGGGGCACGACCCGTCACGCAGGACCACCCCCCCCCACCACCCCCCCTCGGTAAATCCTGAGCGGCGTTTCAGCCGCGTTCCTGCTCGGGGCGGGGGTTGTGGAGCCACTTCCCTGTGCCACCCGTGACGCCCCAGGGCTATAAACTCGAGAGGAGTGGCCACGGGCCAGGAGCTCGTGGTTCTGGATGTCCTTTCTTCCCTCCCATCCTCTTTTAACCCCCCCCCCCAACCCACCCGAGCTCGCCTTTCTCGTGGTTCTCGTGGTTTGGGGGCATTTGGGCAGCAGGAGGGGGCTGTGGTGAAGGCCTGGCCCTCCCTGGTGAGGGGCTGTCCCTACTTACCTGTGTCCCCTCCACCTCCCCACGTGGCACAGACATCCCCTCAGACCCCCCCAC